AATAATAATGATTTCTGCACTCTCCTCCACAGTATAACATAGATATGATTCAGGTATAAAAAACCTTGATGGAGGCTTTAGCCATATCACTCCACACACCCTTCCCTCAGCGCTTTGTGTGTGTGTGTGTGTGATTTTTTGGTTTCTATTTGCTGTTGCTAACCCGAATTAAAAGTAGTACCTAAGCTACTATGAAAACCTAATTAAGATTATCTGAGTGAGCTCAGAATTTTGAGAGCTATTCTAGCATGCTCATGCAAATAAGACCTACACCTTGATCCTGAGCATGCTTACTTCAAAGTAAATTCCATCAATTTCAGTATGGCTTCCAAACTAGTGTGTGAGGTTATGATTATGGCCTTAAATAGTTCTTAGCATGTTTATTTAGAAATAAAGCCCATTGCATTTGGAAAGACTTGCTTGCTATTAAATGCAGTTAAAACAGAAGTTGTAACAGTTATACAATAGGAAGAAAATGAAATAATGGATGTTAAACTATTAGTCACTTGTTAAATTATTTTTAAGTGTTTCTTCTTAAGCAACTGGTTGACACTCTGGGTGACACTCTTGCAGAATGTGGTTTTTTTTCATATAACATGTTTCGATTCAGCTGTTCTTTCCCCAGTATTTTAGCAAGCAGTAAAGCAGGCAATCTGCCAATCCACAGTTGAGAGCACCAGGCGGGCTCATGTGGATTAGAATGGCTCAATTGACTTAAAATAGCAGGTGAAATTTGTAACATCTAAACTGTGAATCATTTGAAATATGTTGATTGAGGGCCATGGCTGGAGCAGTTCTGCAGTGGCAGAATGTGAGGCAGAAATGTGATAAAAGCTTTGCCAAATAAAACAGGTGTAGATGCCCATGTCTGAGAAAACCTTTTGATCTTGGCAGGTTTTCTTTGGAATATTATTAAGAACACAGTCTGGACATTGTGATCAGGAAGAGTGAGAGAATAAATTTCACATGTAACACCAAACTGTGTTCTCACTGTTGAAACATAACATGTGTTCACACATACCTTTCTCCTCACTTATTTGACTTAATTACTTCCTGATTTAAAGGTAGCATTGTTTCTTGTTACATCAGAACTGGAAAATACTGGCATGTGCTTGCCTACTGAAAACCTGGATTGTAAACTTGGGTTTAATCTTGCTCTGCAGCCTTGGCTTGTATGGCTGAGTGTATACCACTATTTGCCCATTCATTGCAAAAAATGCAAACATACTTAAAACTAGAATCTGCTACAAATCATATTTACAAATACAAAGGATAAATGCTAAATATATAAAGCACAATATATTATCAAATGCAAACATACAAGGAATATAATGGATAAATTAAAATAGTTATCAGATCAGAGTATGGTTGAGATACTTTATTGCAATTTCTTAAAGCGCTTATGGCTTTAGAAGTTGTCAGTGCAAAAAGACCCTATACAATATTACAAATTAATCAGCATTTGACAAAAAGTAACACCTTTTCTCAGTTTTTAATATAATATCTTTAAAACATCACCTAAAATTTAAAACAAATTCAAAATACAACCAGATAATGTAGGTGCAAGCTCTTCTGTCTGAGGGCTTCCCTGAAAACATCTGCACAAAGGGGAATCCATTGATATCAGCCATCAATCCGGGCCACTAGTACAGCTTGCAAACAAATAGCTATAAAGGCTTGCCTAAGCTTAGGAAAAGTAAGATTAACCACATAGCAGATGAGGGGCCACTTTCTGAGTCACAACTGGCTCTGGAGTGATAATACAAAAAGAGAATTGGAATCTAATGAAAAAATATAATTTCATTCTGAACAGAACCTGATCTGAACTTTGAGGCTTTGGGACTTATCACTAAGTTCAAGCAACTGTGCAAGAAACCACTCCAATCAGTGCTCTATGATCTGATTCAAAACAGCTTAAAATCAACAATTTCTTTAGTACCAGCAGTTTGCCTTTAACCATAAGGAATTTGTAGCTCCTGTGACTTACAGATACATATGCTGAAATGTGGAAGGGTATGTGTTGCAAGATGCAGAAGTCAGAAATACCAGTTCTGAAGCCTCTTTAATTGGTTATATGGATAATGCTAAGGTAGATCTGCTCTTGAAATTTAGGCTAGAGCCGTCTGTTCCATTAGGAGGTCCAGCTGCTGACACTGCAAGAAACTAGTGCTTCCCAGTGCAACTGCAGACAAACAGAAGCTTTCACTTGCATTAGGGGGGCACATCTGCAGAGCTCTTTCACTGAAATGATCTCTTCTAGAAGCTACGTAGCATTGCAGCTTGTTTCTGGTTGCTTTAGGAACTGTTAGGTTCCCATTGCAATAGCTGTGGGTCCCAGTGACTTAAGGGCAGTGTTGAATATTGTCCTACGTATCATTCACTGAGTATTACCAGCAATAGCCAGAACAGCTTATTTCACTTTATAGTAGAGGTAGAGAGAAGGGGGTCTTAGCTAATTTAGATACAAGTGGAGGTAGTACACTCAAAAGACAATAAACATTCCTTAAAAATAGAATACACTGTTCTTTTCTCAAAACAATATTCAGCCTCCAGTGAGTATTATTTACCCTTGGTATAATCATCTGAAGCAAAAATCTGAGGGTCCTCTTAAAATTTTTTGATATGCTTCAAATGCCAACAAAGAAAACTGGTCTTGAAAGACAGCTAAGAAATGTGTTTAATATAACTGAGTTGTGAGTTCTCAGTTACAATTCAAACTAGTCTGACAGGTCTTTTTTCCAGCCACTGCCTATTTTCCCTATTGAATAATTCATTGAGTCCAATCTATGCTCTGTAGATATAACTGGCACATGTTTGGTTGGTAGCAGCAGGTCCTCCTTTTTATGGAAACGGTGAGTGAATGAAATTGTTAATCAACAGCCAAACCTTGTTGGCTCTTGGAGGAAGGGAACCCTTAAGTTTCTCCAGAAATCAATAGCAAGTATGATGCAAATAATTGTGCCAGTACAAGGGTGGCATCTGAATCAGAGCAGTATCCCAGATCTCTTAAATTGCTGAAAGAAACCTCAATGAGACTATAAACTGTATGTTCAACATGCATAATTTGTAGAGGACACATGTCTTGCATTTTTAAATGGTAGCATCATGTATTAGAATTCAGATAATATTAGAAGTGAATAATACTCAAAGTGATAATACTGTTCCTTTTCTACATTTCAAACCAGAGCAACTTCAACATTTTCTAGACTAGTAAGTTTCAACAGGAAAAGTTTATTATATAAATCCTACAAAAGAATGTGTGTTTTTGTACAGCTGTTCTGCTTGAATGTTATAAAGTTTCTGTAAAAACATTTATGATGGATTGCACCAATTGCTGTAAATAGCACCTTAACTAAATAGTGGCTTTTCTGAAATGGCTACTTCTAAATGCATTTGATATGCCTTAACAAAAGTGTTTTAAAAAAGTTTTTACTTTTTACACAAAGTACCTACAACTGATAAGTTAAGATGATACTTAAGAAAATACTATGTGGAAATAGGTGAATTATTTTAACCTTCTCTGAAGTTTCATTTCTTAGTAATATCTGTGATTATTTATGGATAAAATTTGGACACTTGTGTACTTTCCTAACAGGCACTCTAGGAAAACAGATAAAAAGTGGATTCAGTCTATAAAACATTAGCCCAAACCCAGAGAAAGTACTGTTTAGTGGTAGCCAATTGAAGTCAGTTGGACAAGTTGTCATTTGTGCTGTAGTTGTAAATATAGAGCAAGCATCCCATACTTTCTGTGTGCTCCCATACATTCTGTTGCACCTATGAGACAGACTGCTGGTGTAGCAATGAGCTAATTCTTCCTAAAGCAACACCAGAAATGAGCCTAAACAGTTGTTTCTGGAGCAAGGTGGCTCAGTGGTGCTCCCTTCTGCAGTGATCATTAGAAACATAGAAACAGAGCAAGTCAGAAGGGGCCTCTCAGGCCATCTAGTCTGATCCCCGGCTCTGCTATGACATGCCCACCATGGGCATGTCTAGCCTATCTTTGAACACCCACACCGATGGGGCTTCAACCACCTCCCATGAAAGCCCATTCCATACCCTCGGGGCCCTAACTGTCAAGAAATACTTCCTGGCATCTAAATTGAACCTGGGTTCCCTGAGCTTTGCTCCGTTGGAGCGTGTCCTGCCTTCCTGACCATTGTTCTGCCCCATTCTGGAAACATGCTTTTCACCTCATTTCCAGGTACTTTGAAACCACGAACTTCCTGTTGTACTAGTGGTTTGTCCTGCTTACTTGCAGGCAGGCTTGGATACTGCTCCTAACATATAGAACATTGGTAATAATAATATACTATACTATAACAAATTAACAGAATCATGACAGATTCTGCAATCATTGCCTTTTCCATATTTAGTTATTTAAGAACAAGATAGTATATCTGATTTTACATACAGCTGGTAGAGGTGAACCAAATGGTTACCAGCAATTTAATGAACAATTTGTTGTGCCATTCATAGTGATGATTCATGAAAGTGTACCCTCATTGACTTTGGAAAGCCTAGGCCTGAATTAGTGACTCACCTCCAAAGAGTGTGTAGAATTTGTATTCATTTTACAAGAAATATCATTTTTCAGAAATAACTTTTTACCTTACACTGACATTAGGATTAAAATTGATCCATTGCCTCTTATTTTCATTTGATTGGAATTGATTTTCTTTATGAGCAATACTTATATCTTTCCAAATAATGTGTCATGTTTATGCTAATCTTGTTTGTTCTTAATGGAGTACTAATGATACGGCATATGGAGGATATTGCCAAGTAAAGAGTCTCATTTCTGTTACCACCACTCGCTCACTCATGCTCTCTCTCTCCCCTCCCCTCCCCTCCCCTCCCCTCCCCTCATTTCATTTCATTTCATTTCAAACTGATCTTTAATTTATTCATTTCATCCAAGGAATTATAATCCTGTAATGTAGTTACGAAAAGATTGCATGCTTTTAATTCCAGTTCAATTTCCTCCCCCACCCCCCAAGTTTCAGACCAGCAGCGAAGAGAAAAACTCAAGAAAGAAGTTGAAAGGTGTGAGAAGGAGATGATTTCATCTAAAAATGTGTCCCGATCTAGTTCCAGGGAGAGTAGAAGACCATTGTCAGCCACCTATAAAAAAGTAGGTATAAAGAATTTTTTAAAATTCAAAATCCTACTATCATCTCTGAAGGTTTCTCCCCTGTTGTTTTCAGTGTGCTGAACCACAGCTCAGTATATTAATACTGATGTTGTTTTAAGTTAATTTTTGTTGTTTGTGTGTTTCAACTTTTGTTAACCTCCCAGGCAGCCTTGAATATTGGGAGGTTTAAAAATTAATTAAATAAAGCCATGTAAACAAGTTACGATCACTGAGAAGTTTTCCTTATTAACAGATGTACTTTCATTTTAAACTTCTGGAGAAGGTGCTACTTCTACTTCTGCAGTTTACCTACATACTGACTAGGGATGGATGAATTTGTGGATTTTAGTTTCTGTGAGTTTCTCATTTTCCTATCTTGCTTGTTTGGTTTCATTTCTTTATCAATTTGTGATGTTTAAAAATTCTGCATGAAAACACATGTATTTTAAGTGGATTTTGACTATATTTTATATTATTTTGCAAATACTTTTTCTTTGAATAAAGTTGTTTGTGTACTTCCCCACTAATGCATGCATTTTTGCACACACTTCCTCTAATATAGGCACGTTTGATGCAATTTAAATTCAAAGAATTGCATTGCAAAATTTTGGGAAATACAAATGCTAAAGGATAATTTCGTTCCAGGTCCATGAAATGCAAATTGGCTAAGTTCTTATTAAATTCTGAAGCAAGCAAAATTCTTTCCCATCCCTAGTGCTGAAGAATAAAATTAAAAGGGAGTCAATGTGGCTACCTTTGGAGCTTTTTGTTTGAGTTATTTCCTTGTGTCACAGATTGTGCTAACTTGTGGAAACCCTGGCAGTCCTCCCATCAGAGCATCACTGTCCTGCAAGAAATGCTAGATTAAGTTGGGACGCATGTCAGCTGGGAGCACCTGGCACCTCTTACTTTCCCTACACCTGCCTGAAGGTTTCTTTCAGCAGATTTCTTTCTTGTGAAAGAATGGTTCACAAGCAAGCCTCAGACAGGTCTGTGTTCACTCTGATCCAGGTCATCAGCATTGGCAGAGGACTGTTTTCCATGTGAAATCCTTCTTCTCCAATGCTCACAACACTCCAGTGCGCGCACACATTCAATCAAGACTGTCATTCATCTGCATAGGAATGCTGAGGGTGCATTCCGCTCTCACGCTTCCTCATTCATCGCTAGTTTGCCAGCCACTTCAGCCCTGTGTCTACAATGTTGCTGCTTCCCCTGGATGGGGCTATACAGCTCCAAGAAAGGTGCATGCAGCACCTGTTTGTGTCTTTATTTTATTTTATATCTCTACCTGGATGGTCTGCAACAGTCGAAATCTCATTCATTCATTCATTCATTTGAAGTTTTTCTATGCCATCCCATTACTAAAAGTCTCTGGACAGCTTACAAAGGACAAAATCTTAAAAGACATTATCAAATACAATATAAAACCTTTTAAAATAAATGTTTATATTACTGCATTTATCATATGCAATTCATTTTGCAATTAGGTAGCATCTATACAAACATGGGCCTAGCTAGGTCAGGGGATAATAATGCCCATGGCAGCCAGAAACTGCATAGACAGGCCAAGTTGGGAGGTGAGGCAAGATGAAAGTCAGGGTAGAGAATCCTGTGCTAAATAGCTTGACAAATGGGCACAATGCAGCTGAAGTTACAGCATATTTAAGATGGATAGCTTTCAGTGGGAAAGATTTAAACAAATTTACTTCACCCACTGAAAAATGTGGAACTTAGTAGTACTTTGCTTTGGCTGGATTGTTTCCTTTAAAAAAATCCTTATTAAGATTATGAATAGAAAAAGAAAATGTGTTAGCTGCATTCATGAGCATGCTTTTCATTTAGTAAAACAATATATATTTAGACATGCGAGCTTTGAGAAATCAGTTGCTCATATAAACTGTAGTATCATCACTAATGTTGTTGGGTGGAATTATGCTTGCCAGGAGAAAAATGCTTTTGTTCATCAAACAATTGGAAGAATAATATTATTTTCATAGCAATCAAGAGAGAGAAACGATGATGGGATTCATTTTCAGTTTAAAATATGCACAAGGGTATATTTTGCATCCAGCTGCTGTATAATGCTGGTCATTAGCTGGTTGATTCTTGCATGACTATTTGATAGCTGACAGTTTGAGTGATGGCATTATTAGATTTCTGGAGAATAATCGTGCTGTGGAATGTTATTCATGACTCTTGCTGGTGGACATACAATATGCAAGCTTGTTTCCTCCACCCACTTTTTTGTATTTGTTTGGTTTGGTTTGAAGAAAAAGAGATGTTAAATTGAAGATGTGAGATTCTATCTTTAGTCACCATTATTTTCTTTCATCAAGGCTGTTGTCACAACTTTCTTAATAAGTTTTTTCTTGGATAAAAGATCCCTGTGACACTTACTGACAAACTCTTGGTTTGATGGTGTTAATGTGGGATTTGCAACATTCAGATTTGTTATAAAGCATTTGTAATGATTTAAAATGAATACATGGTCTAGCTATCTGAGCTGGAACAAAAAAATGGAAATGACATTTTAAACCTTCTTTGGGCATAATGACCTGCTATGCCAGTCACTGGGCTGCCTCTAAAAATTGTGTTCTGTATAAATTCCTCCTGTAACACACACAATAACGGACCCCATGTCATGATATTAACATATTGTGTGTTCTGTGCAGGAACGGTAAAGCATGGCTAGCAGGTGCCCCCTCTGCACTTCTTAATGTACGGAAGGTGTTCTTCTGGGCACCTTGGTATCATTTCATTGAACAAGGGTTGACTCAGATTGTGTGATGCTGAATCTGTGTTGGTCACTGCTAGTTTGTTGACAGTCTTCGCTGCCAATGCAGCATGTCCATTGCATGCAAAATCCTCATAGGTGAAAAAGGTAATCTTTGTCTACCTTAAATCCAGCTACATCAGTGCAACCTTACATAACTAAAACGGAAAGTCCTCACTCTCCTGCTGCTCTTGAATGTGTGGGCAGTATTTTGAGGGTGTGGCCTTGATGCTGAGATTAGATCTTCAGTTTGCTGCACAAAATTGTACAGCCCAGGTATATGGATCCTCTGCTGCTCAACCTTGCTGCTGAGACATGAGGATTAGTATCAGGCAGTCAGACCCAGATCTAAGTGGATGCCACAGGACAGGGAGTTGGCCGATGCTTCTGAAACTATTCTAGTGTCAAGTGTGAGGTGGGAACAAACTTCCCAGTCCCAATAATGCAGCCAGCAAAAATGGACTGTGCTGAATTTCCATTCCTCTAATTTATCTCAGACTCCAGTTAATGTCAGTGGGATTTGCTTCCAAGTCGGTGTGCTTCAGTTGCAGTCACAGGTGTAATTTTTATGAGGCTGTGATACCATCTCTCGATTTTCTTTTCTGCTGAAATATAAAGACTTTGCTCATGGGGCTTACCTCTCTCTTCATTCTCCTAATTACTGTCTGTATGGGAATACTTGACTCATAAAGAGTTTTATGGAAATTGTAAAGCATTTGTAAAAATATAAACTTAAAAAGGATGGGTCAGGGAGAAAGAGAAACTGTAATCTTGCTTTCTCTTCTAGTATTTGAATATGTTTAGGCCAAGAGTCTGAAGCTTTTATATTATATGCTTCCCAGAGCTATGAAAACTCTGATTTAGAACATGGATCCTCAAACTAAGGCCCATGGGCCAGATCCAGCCCACCATGCCCATTTAACTGGCCTGCCCCAGAGGTTTTGCACTCACCGTACATGCACGTGGCTAGCTCTTGAGGAGGTCGTTTTGAACTCACTTGGAGAAAACTCTCCTCGTGAGCAAGCTACGCCTTGCCGTGCGTGCCCAGCGACGGCTTGCTCGTGAGGAGGTCGCCCTGTGCACGTCCTCACCGCCGGCACCACCTTGGCGGCCCGCACCCACCGCTGGCACCTGTCAACTGGCCCCCTATTGAAAAAGTTTGAGGACCCCTGATTTAGAACAACTTCTTAGAAACTAGCTTCAGTAATGTCGAGTAAAGATAGATCACTGACCTATAAGAATTTAGCTTCCAACAACATATCACAGTGTCATCCTACAGAACTTTTCCAAGTAATCTAGGTCAGCCTGCAGTTTGATCCTCAAGGGGTGCAGGAGGAATCCAGTGGTCTACAGTAACCAGTTTGCAGACTACTTTGCAAGAATAAATTGCTCTTCTCCACTCCAATTTAAAATCTAGTGCCTCTTAGGGCAGAATTAACCAACTGTTACCTTTCACACAGGGATGCTGTATTTTGTAGGCCAACACTTGTAGAGAATATCAGGTTGTGAAAGGCTGACTTAAGTTGTTTCCCAGACTTTACACAGGTAGTGATATAGTCCATAACTACATTAAATTCTGCTACCTCTGCTTATGTCTTGCTCTGTTTCTACATCTGGTGTGTCCCACAAGCTTGGACCTTCTGTCAGATAGAAAGATAAACCTGCAGTCTTCTGCCTCCCCTTACCAGCTCCAAGGTGGAGATGGAAGGCAAAGACTTGTTACAGCTCGGTGCTTGTGACCAGCAAGTGCAGAGCGAAAGTAAATCATAGTCTTCAGCTAAACTACAGCATATAAACATAGAAAACAAATAAATAAACTTATGCTACAAATGGACTTGGAAAATACATTTTTCTGTGTGATAAGGAATATGGGATTGCAAGAGGGTTTTTTTTACAATTTCTTCACTGTGTATGATGTTCAAACTAATAAAAGAAGGTTTAATATATTTTTTAACCAAGTAAGATAGAAAAGATTATATACTAGTTTGCACTGAACTTCTTTACAGGGCTTTTAACAATTTCTTTAGTGTTCAAGTCAAGGAAGTGAATAATAATGCATCTTAACAATCAAAGAATAGAATGAAAAGTCAGAATAACCAGGACAATATACGAATTTATGCATATAGGTACTTTTTACTATTATGAGAAGTCCCCAATAAATGAATGGAAGTATCTGGACTTTAACTCAGTCTAGGTTTGATATTCGTCACTTATAACACAGACA